TAAATTCTGCTATGCTGTGACTTCACAGCTTTGTATGTTTTAAATGCTGACATATACGCTGGCAGAGAGGAGAATGCAGCAGCAGCAGCAAGAAACATGGTTACAAATTGGCACAAGTTTTAGAGGCAACAAGGGACAATTTTTTCACCAGTGTTGGACTTGCAAGGGACTTGCTGCCCCAAAAAACTAACTTTTGGCTGGCACAATGAGAAGGAACAAGCCTGAAATAACTGCTCAGTTCCTCCCCAACGGGCAAAACCTGACCACTCCAGTTTGGTTTCCAGGAAAATATGACCCTTGTGAATTATGTACCCAAAAAGAGGAAAGCGGTATTACTGTTGTCATCTATGCACTCAAATGCTTCTACCTCTGGGACTGAAGCAAAACCAGATATCATTTATTTTTATAATGAAACAAAAGGACACGTGTGATGGTATCCTCATCCATTGCAAAATGGATAGGCAAACACTGGCTGATGGTAGTTTTTGCGAACATTTTGGACATTGCGTATCTGAATGCATATATTGTTTGGATTTTGTTGAATTGCCCCTGCCTTAATAAATCCTTAAGTAAGAGACGGATGTTTTTCAGGGACCTGGGTATAAAAATGAAGAAACCACTGGTGCACAAAAGCAACATTGCAGCCTGCCTCAGGTTTCTAAGGGAACAGTGATTAGTGTGCTAGGTACTGGTCCAGAGCCTAAGAAACAGGCAAGATGTTACATCTGTTCCAGAGAATGAGACAGAAAAACACCTCTAAAATGTGCAAAATGTGAAATTGTACATTCAGAACATGTCACTTATTTGCCCCATTTGTTCAAAGTAGTAGGCTATTTACTGCCATTTTGCTGTTTGTGCCTCTTACAGGGGCGTGCACAGACATTTAACTTTGACCCCTTTAGGGGGCCACGTTCTGTGCCCCCTCCCCCCGGCAGGATCTCACTTTTCCTTCCCTCCCTCCCCTGCCCCCGGCTCTGGCAGGAGTTTGCTTTCCCCTCCCCCAGCCCCAGCCCTGAGGCTGGAGGAGTTCTGTGTCCCCCAATGATTATGGGGATGCATGTCCTTGATTGCCCCCCCTTGTGCCTGCCCCTGGCCTCTTATATTGTTGCTGTTGCTATCTTTTTTTGTCTAAACATGGGGTCAGTTAGACCCTGACTCCAGCATAGCATGTAGCTTCTTAAAAATATGTTTGATCATGGGGTTAGTTAGACCCCAACACAAGTAATACTTAGTGTACTTTCAAATCTAGGAAAGCTTTAACTTGTTTAGTTGTATACCTTATTAGTAAAGTCAGTTTTACATGCATTCCATGTTTTTTTTTTTCCTGATTTTTGACATACTAGACGTCTCCAAGATCCCAGTAAAGAAATAGTTGGGTGACTTTTGGTCCAAAATCAAAGGCATGGTTGCCCAATACTTCCCATTATAACACCCTGCTTGCAGTTGCTGAAAACTTGGCTAAACATTAACTATTTGGGTTGAAATTTTACATGGTAGGTGTCTGCCTCAGGCTAATACTTTTTTTTTGTATAAAATTTCACCTCAAATGCTTTGAGCCTTTTCCAAAAATGAGGTTGAGAAGAATAGATTGTGTACCAGAATTTTAACATATGCAAACCTTTCCTTTTTATGAGCTCTAGCACCACCATAGTTTGGAGCAACGACTTGAAATTTGATATAATAGTGATCTTTGTGTGATGGATAGGCCTTTTGCCATTCTATTGAAAATCCACGCAAATTTGGTTCCATCTTATGAACCTTTGAAAAAGAGCATTTTGCACATGCTCAGTAGAGATTTGCTAAAGCTTTGCAGTTAAATTCCCCAAGATTCAGTCCTCACTGGGCATGCTCAAGCCCAGGGCTGCAGGAGACTAAGCAAAACTTTGCCTACATTTGCAGCTGTGGGCTGGTGCAAGCTGGGTCTGGGTCTGGGCCTGAGCCTCTGCCTTTGCCCAAGAACTGAAAGCAGGGAACCCATCTCCCCAGTTCTCTCAGCTCACCCCATGCTGGTGCCCAGGCAGCATGGGGGAGGAAGTTGCAATATTCAAATACTGAGAGGACAAGATCTGGGCAAGGGGGAAGGGAATAGATTGGGACATGGTGGGGGAAGTGGGGACTGGAGGCTGGGGAGAATGGCTGAGAGAGAGACTGGGATTTAGGGTGAGCAAAGACTGGAACTGGCAGCTGTAGGGAGCAGAGGGGGCTGAGACTGGTTGGGTAGGGAGACCGGGGTTGGCAGATTGGGACTGACAGGGAATCGGCGGGGCAGGAAAAAATGTGGGAAGAGGGGAGACATCTCTGAACAGCCAGGATGAGAGGTGGGAAAGGAGACAGGGGCTGGGATGAGGAACCATGGCTGAAGAACAGAAAGGATTGAGACAGGGACAGGTTGCTGGGGATGGGGAAGGAGGAGTCAAGATTGTGGGGAATGGATAGAAAGGTCTGTACCCACTAGACACACTCCTCTCCAGAGCCTGGAGTTGAACCCAAGATTCCTGAGTCTAAACATTCCTCTACTGTCAGCAAATATCTGTGAAACCCACTGGCAAAGTGTCTCATCTCTCTTCTGTGTCAGTCCACATAAAGGATGACTACTTACTACTGCTATCAGTTACCTTACTAGCTCAAGTAGCAGAGGTCTGTGTGGTGGAGCTAAACGTTTTAGTCCTACTGATATCCCATATGGGTGCACTATATGATGCCACTTGATGGAATTTGTGTTTTCAGTTTGCTTTTTTAAAAACCTAAGAAACGACACACACACAAATGCCATCTTCAAAGAGCACTAAGGTTCCAAAGTCAAACATTCAAAAGTTGGGAAATGCCAGAATAAAGGTTGGTTGTGCAACCTTAATTTGTCCCCCTTGTGGATATGCATCATGATAGTCTTTAATTAGATGATTGCGTACTGTTTTTGCCACAGCACCTCTGCCTTATTCAGTTCATAGGCCTATTCATAGGAGGTCCTGCCACTTGTCCCCCCCTTGGTAGTATGGGATGAGGAAATGGATGTTGAGGAGGATGAGCATAGAGAGATGTTCATGAGGCATGGTTTAAGATAGACTGGCTAGATGTTGTGCAGACGTTTCTGGTGGCATGTTGGGTGTGGCCAAGGAGGTTTATGGGGCAGAGGGGTTGATAAGTTCCAGAGGGTCAGCAGTGGGTGGGGAGCACACTTCCTCAGGATCCACTTGAGGAAAACGAGAGAAGCAGGAGACAAGGCTGCCCTCGCCTCTTGGAGCACACAACAGGGTACGTGCAGGATGGGCAGCTCCATGCAATGGCTGAGCCCTGTAATCCCTCTGATCGTAATCCAGGACATCTCAGAGTCTGATGGTACCAGCCAGGACCAACTTCCAGTGTATCAAGGGGGACTCCCTCACCTGCACATGGAGATGGGGTTGTGTAGCAGGGGTTCTGCAAGGAGGGCCTCCTCCACAGTGGCTGCTACGGACCTGGCCACCGACACTAGATGCTTCCAGGTCCTGAGGAGGTCCCACTAAAAGACGGGTAGCTCAGAGAGGTCTTGGGAGATAAGAGCTGCTTGGCATATTGGAGATGATGGAGGAAGGTGTGCACCAAAATGCTCCGTGCATGACTATCTGCACTGTCACTGCAGGGCCTGAATGCAGGAGCTGTGGGCCTGCCTGTGGATGCAGAGCAGACCTGGTCTGCCCTCCCATAAGGGGAGGCTCAGGACACCCACAGAGACCCAGTGCAGACTGGCCAGAAAAACTCCAGGAACTTCTTCTGGAGTCTGGCTAGGGTTCCTGTGAGGTGGGCTCAATGTGCTGAACTGGTGCCAGAGCATAGACCGGACAAGTTGACAACCAGTGTCCTCCCCAAAAGGACAGGAAGTGCACAGGAGGGACCTGCTCTAGGGAAGAAGCAGAGCTGTGTAGTGAAGGAGACTGTCTGTAGGACTCTTGCCTTATTTGTTGCAAAAGTTGGAAGATGAGTAGTGAATGAGGCAGGGATCTCCCATCGTAAAGGCAGTTGAATTCTACCATTGGGGAATTGAATTATACCCTTGACTGTGCCACATACTTCCTATGTGATGCTGGGCAAGTCACTTGAAGCAAACTTTTTCATGTATGTTAATTAATTGAGCATTTCTCAGTTTCTGGGTGCCTGCTTTGAGACTGATGGGTCTTATATGCAGAAGTGCTGAGGACTCAGAAGTGTGACTGAAGTCAATGGGAGAGCTATTCTTTGAACGTATTAAGTGTGATATAATGCTAATGAAACATCAGGTCCTAGGTGTCCCAAATTGGGCACCCAAATAGGTAAATCTTTTGACCTTAATCTCTTTGTGCCTTAGTTCCCTATCTGTAAAATGGGGATAATACCCCTTCATCTCACAGGGGTGCTGTGGAAATAAATTTAATAATTGTGAAGCATTCCAAAACTATAATGGTCAGTGCCATAGTAAGGACCTTGAGGAGGAAATAATAATTGCGCCTAAGAGTAGGGTTTAAATAGTGTGCAGTGAATAAGGCATGGGCCACACATTGAATAACGATGAGGAAACAACATACATTGAACACCATCCATCCTGTGCACTAAATGAGGTAGGAGTTCTGGGGAAAAATAGAATGTAATCATGTAATTAAAGACTGCATCATACGGCATACAGCACAATGGAGTCAAATTAAGGTATCACAGGCAACCTGAATTCTGGCATTTCATAACTGTTGGGTGCTTGAGTTTCCACCCTTAATAATGTTCTTTTAGTGTGTGTATGGGGAAAGGGAATGGGATGGGGGTGCTCATTTTCTGAAGTGGAAATAATAGGGAATTTTGATGTGATTACCAAACATGTTTTCACTTGGCCTAAACCAGATTTTCATCCTAGTTTTCCAGATGTGAAACTCCACTATGTTAACTCACAGTTCCGACAAAACTCAACTAAAGTCATTTGGTTTTTGTTTGCTTTTTTCATCTGGTGTTCAATGACTGTTTAAGTGCATAAATCTAATGTTCTGTGTGTTTTTTAACAGATCTTATTGTTGTGATAGCCTCAATTATTGTTCTGAGCGTAGGATCAAATGGGCAGGTGTTCGCCACATCTGCCATAAGGTATGTTCTTCTAGTGACTGTAAAGTAACTAAATAAATACAAGAGCATGCATCTATAAACCCATCAATTGTTATTGCCAAAGATGATTATCAAAATGTCAAGGTAAATGGACTGTGAAGAACTCAGTGTACCATTGTGCCTCGGTCACTGATTGGGAAAGGCAGTATCGAGGCAACGCATACTGAGTGGGTGTGAGTGTGGAAGCAGAGAGGACACAACTAAAGAAACATTATATCCCATACAAAACATCTAACGCTCTTTCTGAGGGAAAAAAGAAATATTACAGCACGTTGGTTTATTTAAGAAGTAATCCAGACACCACTTAATTCACTTGGTACTTTTTTGGAAAATGTGTAATTACTTCACTTAAATCCATCAAAGCACAATTGCATTTTATATGGTACAGGTAACACATACCAAGCAGGAACCAGACAAATTTGATTTATGAACTGTTTGTTCAGCTTGCCCCAAGTAGCACAATCTTGTTTTGGATGGTAAACTGAGTAAATACTGGAAAGGAGCGATGAGTGGTAGAGGCGCATTCCCACTGTGCTTAATCCAGCAAAGGGGTGCTGCACCTCCTATAATGTGTTAAGTGCCCTCCCTCCCACCTGAGTCATTGGGAAGTGAGGAAGTCAGCACTTTGCAGGATTAGGCCCAACGGATAGACAGACACTAAAGGGAGTTGTATAAGGTATTTATAGGGCACTGACTTTTGGCATACAAGAACTTATTATGAAGACACAAGTGTTCAGAACAAATATGTACTTTCTGTTCCTACAGGTGAATGTGTGTGTTAAGATTTGTTTAATTTAGTGCTGTCAATTAATCGCAGTTAACTCACACTATTAACTAAAAAAAATTAATCATGATTAAAAAAATTATTTGCGATTAATTGCACTGCTAAACAATGGAATACCAATTGAAATTTAATAAATGTTTTTCTACATTTTCAAATATATTAATTTCTATTACAACACAGTACAGTGTACAGTGCTCACTTTATATTTTTTATTACAAAGATTTGCACTGTAACATTTCTAAAAAGAAATAGTATTTTTCAATTCACCTCATACACGTACTGTAGTGCAATCTCTATCGTGTAAGTGCAATTTACAAATGTAGATTGTTGTTACATAACTGCACTCAAACAAAACAATGTAAAACTTTAGAGCCTACAAGTCCACTCAGTCCTACTTCTCGTTCAGCCAATCGCTAAGACAAATACATTTGTTTACATTTAGGGGAGATAATGCTGCCTGCTTCTTATTTACAATATCACCTGAAAGTGAGAACAGGCGTTCGTATGGCACTTTTGTAGCCGGCGTCACAAGAGAGTCTAAGCCTTCAATGGCATTGTCCCGGTGTGGAAAAACAGTCTAAATTATGCAGGTCCCAATCTGTTAAGGGCATTTTAGATTAGGGACAGGATGTTGCAGTCTGTTCTGAAGTGAATGATAGTGTTGGATTTCACAAAGCACAGCTGTCATGTTTGCCTTGGGCTTTGTTGCTTTTGCAGCATGCTGCATCAACTTAGGCATTTTCATTCAGCCCCGAATAGAGTGAATTGCAATAGTCTAAGCTGGAAGATACAGAAACATAGATCACCCTGGTTAGGCTGTTGTCTGACAGAAAAGGGCGCAAGTTCCTGACCTATCAAAGATGAAAGGCCGCTTCCGCCCTGGTGGAAATTGGCAAGTCTGGAACCAGTGCAGAATCCACTACAAGTACAAAGTTTGTAGCACTTTGATAGTCTGCACTCTGATGTCTTCAGACTTTTGTCTAGATCATCAAAACAGTCACCTTTGCTACCAACATCTCTTCTACATTTGCAGAGAAGCTATGCCTCTGCTATGCCTATCTCTGATACTCCACAAACATCAATTTTGGTAATATACCATTGATCAAGTGCCCATAATGTCCATATCAGCAGTTGGACGCCATGATGGTAAGCAACTTAGATATATTAAAGACAGCTCAACCAAGAAATGTCATAATGTCTACTTGCTGTCAGCTGTTAAATTAAAGAAACCTAGGGGAGCATCTAAAAATTGTATTTGTGTCCTTTCCTTTTCCCCCCCATGGGGGAAGCTGTGTGAACCAGCCAGTGTTGGCATACCACATATTATGAGAATTCTTCTCTTTCAGTCCTTATTTCAAAAAAAAAAAAATTACATGTTTGCAGTTAAATTTCTAAAACTTAATACAACTGTGTAGAATCAATAGCATACCAAAGAATAACGAAATGCCATTTATGTATGCTGCCATTCAGGCTTCACAGTGTCATGGTACAGTGCTTAGTATTGCATGTGGGGTCAAAAAGTACAAGGCTCTAGTAATTTTGATTTTTTTCTTCTGGGGAAGCTTAGAAAAAAGCAAACTTTAAATGAAGGAGAGATTAGATTTTCTAAAGGCAAATGCAGTACCTGTCTTTGAGGAGTAATAGGGATTGCAGGACATCATTGTGGAGAAAACTGTTGAGGTGCCTGCCTATTAATGTGGCACAAGAGAGCTTAACTAATGGGATGATAAAAAGAAAAAAATTGGCTGAATTAAAAAAAAAAAATATATATATATATCCTAGTGGTAAAAGCCTATTTGACTGTGGATTTGGACAGGTCACTAGAAAGTAAACTTGAAGGACAATCTTGCAGTAGCAGATGGATAGGTGATTCCTTTCCTTCTCTGGCTACTTAGATTCAGTGATAGGATTTCAATAGGGTAGTTGCTATAAGCAATGGCTAAGAGTGTGTGTGTGGAAGAAATAAAGAGATCATGATAAAACCAAACCAAATTAATGAGAAATATTTTAATTTGAATTATTAATTTAAAATTATTCATACATTTTTTCAGCATAGGGTTGCCAACTTTCTAATCACACAAAACTGAACACTCTTGCACCTCCCCTTCTCCAAGGCCCCACCCCACTCCCTCCATCCCCCCTCCCTCCATCGTTCACACATTTGCACCGAGCTGGGGAGGGTCCATGTAGGAGGTCCGGACTCACCCCTGCGGCGCCTGCTGCTGGTCATCCAGGGAATTAGCTCACCAGCCTCTGGAGCGCCCTCTGCAGGCTGGTGATCCGCCTTGTCCTCTGCACTGGCCCCCGTGTCCCTCCCAGGACCCTAGTGCCCCTTGCTCTGGGTGCTGCCCCCTGGCAATATCCACACACACGCTAGGTCTCCCCTCCCCGGGGAACCCCCACCCACTATCCCCACCTCACCTCAGCACTAGGCCACTGCCAGTCACCAGCTAGCCCCCACTCCCTGGGGCAGACTGCAGTATAGGCCACTCATCATCAGCAAGGAAGGTTTGGACCTGCTGCCTTGGCCTAGCCCTGGGCTGCCCTCTGCAACCCCCAGTGCCCCTTGGCCTGCTACTAGGCCACAGCCTGGGGCTATCTAGGCTGGAGCTCCCCAGGCCTGCTCCACTACAGGTACCCTGTCTAGCTCCCTGCAGCCAGGCTCTTCTCTCTCTGAAGACAGAGAGAGACTCTTGAGCTTCTGGCTCTCAGCCTCTTTATACCGGCCATCTGGGCTCTGATTAGGGTGTGGCCCAGCTGCAGCAACTTCCCCCAATCAGCCAGGGTTTTACCTTGCCCAGCCCCAGCTATCTGCAGGGCTTTTCCAACCCCTTCAGGGCAGGAGTGGGCCTTCAGCCCTCTACAGAGCGTGCTCAGTATTCTCTGGCTGCCCTGCTGGCTGGAGTTCTCCCTTCTCCTCCTCTCCTGCTGGCTGGAGCTCCTTCTCCCTTCTTCCCTGGGCTGCTGGCTAGAGTGTTTCCCTCCCTGGATTACTGCTGCTGCTGAGCAAGGGGTGGGGGGGCCTTTGCTGGCCAGCCCCCCCTCCCCACCATCACTCAAGGGAGAAGCCAAGACCCCACCTTCACTATCACCACTACCACCTGTGGGGGGTCCTTCCTGCCTGGCTGCCAGGGTTGCTGGAGCTGCTGCTGCTGCTGCTGCGTGTGTCCTGGGGAGCTGCTGGAGCTTGGAGGTGGAAGAGGACTGAGCGGACCATCGCCTGCTGGGGGAGCGCACAGGACTCTGAAGACCACTGTGGAGGGGGCCATTCAGGACTGAGTAACTTTTGAACTGTGCTCTAGTGGTGGGGGTCTAGACTGTGTTTGTGGGGACGCAGGGGGTGTGGTGTGGAGCCTGCCCCTGGTCCATCTGTGGCCCCCCCAAGCCCTCACCACCACCGTTGCCCCCTCCACCACCCCCACAGCCCATTTACAGCCCATTTACCACCTGCCTCTGCTCCTGTCTCTGGGACTCTGCTGCTCTCTGAGCCTGCCACGCCCTATTGACATAGTTTGGGCCTGCAGTGGCAGGCAGCCGCACATTGACTTTACGCAAGCGCTCGTGGGCGCACCTACCCCCCCTGGACTGACCCCTTCCCCTTCGCAACAGGCCTCCCAGTTTTGCCCCTTGCTGCCTATCCCCTTTGCGCCCTGTAGCCTTTTGCTGCTCCCCAGATTTAGTTTGTTTGCCTGCCCCGCCCTTTTCCCTCTACAGTTTGGTTCGGTTGTCCCACCCCAGTCCTGCGGTTAGCCCCTTGGTTCCTCTGCCCTATTCCCAGCCTAGTTGCTCCCCTTCCTTTGTGCCCCCCCTTGCCCTGATTGACTCCTCCCCTCATGTGCCCATGCCCCCTCCCATGTGCTTGTGCCCCCCATCACATTTTGGTTAATCACTGCACCCCCTACTGTTGTTGTGACCTTCTCTCCCCTAGTGTAGCTAGAGGAGCCTGTGTCGGTGACTGTCCCTCCCCAAGCCCTTGATACCCCCCCATCTCCTCCCGTTTTGGCGCCCTCCTCCCCTGCCTGCAGCCTAGCGGGGAGGAGTGGCCGACCTGTTCCCTCTTTACCTGCCTCCCTTCTCCGGTGTGTTTTCCCCTCCCTCCCCCCTCATTATGGAGGGGAACACGGCAGGCGAGCCCCCCCAAGTAGGCCCTGTCACCCCTCCCCTGCCTGCCCCCTTAGCTTCTTCCTCAACCGCCCCT